GTTTCCATAACAAGAACGAAACAGCAACAATGAACCGGAAGTGGAGACATTCGCTGCTGGAGCCCGTACGAAAAAACAAAAAGAACAGGCCACAAGAAAAAACACGGCCAAGGATGAGACACGTCGGATGGTACACAACAAAAAAATGTGGGCACACAGCAGTCGTAGTACAGGGAACGGGGACGGGGGTGGCAAGGAAAAACATTGCTGCTGCTGCCGTAGCCCGTGCGAAAAAAAAAATAGCAGGCTATATAGTCTACAAGAGAGAACACGGGCACACAACAAACAAATGTGGCCACAGGGTACAGGGAACGGGGACGAGGGGTGGCAAGGAAAATCATTGCTGCTGCTCCGTAGCCCGTGCGAAAAAAAACAAACAAGCAGGCTACATAGTCTACAAGAGAGAACACACGGTCAAAGATAAGACAGGCCGGATGGCACACAACAAAAAACAAACGTGGGTGCCGGGGACTGGGACGTGGGGAGAGTGGGGGGGGGGGGGGACCTCTACACGCTACACAGCAACACATTGCGAACACTGAAAAAACGTACGCATACCAGCTCGCAAAACACAATGCCAAAAAAAAAGATGCAATGTCTCCTCTCGGGAGATTCCATTTTTCCTCTCCCTCATGACCAACACCCCTCTTCCGCGCCCCGGTAAATCCCGGGAGGGCATTAGACCTTGTCCTGGACCATGTTGCACCCAAAACGATGGGGGCAACGTCTCGGACACTAGAAGTGGGCGGTGCCGTAGCAGGCAATGAAGACACGGGCGTAGGGAGGGTCGCTAGCCCGACCGCAGACGCGGGTGTTGAAGTAGCTGGCGATGTCGAAATGGACGCAGGCAGGGCAGTGACCTCAGGAGCAGTGGCAGGCGGTGCCGCTGCAGATGACACCGACGCAGACGCGGATGTACTGGGGGCACCTCCTGCAGCGGGTGGCGTCGGGGCCGAGATGACTCTGAGCATGAAGTCGGCGTCATCCATGTCGTACAAGGCCGGTATCGAGGCTCGCAGTGCCATTGCCCTTGGCCCTTCCAGTGTAAACTCCAACTTCCCCCCGAGGTCGTCGATTTTAGCTTTATTGGACAAGCGAGCGTAACCCCAGCGAGCCCTGTGGGCGGCTTCTTCGTCCAAAGCCTGCCTCGACACAATGGCTGCCGACAAAGCTTCCACAGCCGTCACCAGCTTGCCTGTATGGGCCTGCTGGACGCGGCGCGCCTGCTCTTGCGCGTTCGCCGCCGCCACAGCTGCGTGCTTTTTCTTCACCTGCGCACGGCTCTGAATTTCGCCGGCCCCTGAACATCCGAATCGCGCTCGACGACAAATCTACCTCGGTGTACGCACCGCTTGTCTCCGACCCGCTTCCGTCGCTGGTGCTGGGCGACCCTTTCTTCGCCTTCTGCTTCCCTCCTCGACCCTTCGGCCCGGACGTTTTCCGCGCGGTCCTAAGGTCAGGGTCCTCGCTGCTGCTTGGCCTTCCGANCGGCAGTGTGAAGTTCATTTGCAAGTACCTTGGTTTTTTAAATCCGAACCCTCGATTGTAAAAGCGACAACGCCCCCTTTTTATGATAGATATACTTGTAGCAATGCCAAGTGGTTGTAGGGTTGTGTGGTACGTGGAATGTATTTCCAGGATGTGCAAGGTACCCCTGTTGTATACTGCGTTGCCCCCTCATGGTGGTGCGTGCACGCGTGCGTTCAGTTCATGTGAGTTCATGTGAGTTCATGTGAAGAAGAATTTTATGCAACAAACCCTACACGTCTTTCCTCCTTGGCGCGAGTTCGCCGAGTTGCCGACACCCTATTCAACACACGTCTTGCGA